ACTTCAGAACACCCATGACTTAACCTGATTCCTCCTTTTTTCTTCTTCTCCCTCTTCCCTTTCCTCTTCCCCTTTTAATCTCCTGGGTTGTCTTTCTTCTGTCTCGTGTTTCTGTTCCCTCATTATTTATTTCATCACTTCCCCTTCTTCCCCACCTCTGTGTACTTGCTCTCCCTCTGTGGGCACCTAGCTCCCTTGCAGTGCTCCCCTGTCTTTGTATTTGACTGGCTCGTCCTCCTTATTCTCCACTACTACTACCACTGCTACTACCACTGCTACTACCACTGCTACTACCACTGCTACTACCACTGCTACTACCACTGCTACTACCACTGCTACTACCACTACTACTACTACTACTACTACTACTACTACTACTACTACTACTACTACTACTACTACTACTACTACTACTACTACTACTACTACTACCACTACTACCACTACTACTACCACTACCACTACTACTACCACTACTACCACTACTACTACTACCACTACTACTACCACTACTACTACTACCACTACTACTACTACCACTACTACTACTACCACTACTACTACTATCACTACTACCACTACCACTACTACTACCACTACCACTACTACTACCACTACTACTACCACTACTACCACCACTACTACCACCACTACTACCACCACTACTACCACCACTACTACCACTACTACCACTACTACCACTACTACTACCACTACTACTACCACTACTACTACCACCACCACTACCACCACCACTACTACCACTACTACCACTACTACCACAACTACCACTACCACTACTACTACCACTACTACTACCACTACTACTACTACTACTACTACTACAATACTACTTTACTATTACTACTACTACTACTACTACTACTACTGCTGCTGCTACTACTACTGCTACTACTACTGCTACTGCTACTACTACTGCTACTACTACTGCTACTACTACTGCTACTACTGCTGCTACTACTGCTGCTACTACTGCTGCTACTACTGCTGCTACTACTACTACTGCTACTACTGCTGCTACTACTACTACTACTACTACTACTACTACTACTACTACTACTACTACTACTACTACTACTACTACTACTACCACTACTACTACCACTACTACTACTACTACTACTACTACTACTACTACTACTACTACTACTACTACTACTACTACCTCTTCCTGCCTATATATACCCCTTCCTGCTCTACTTCTCGTTAGTGTGACTTTGTAAATGGTCCAAGTCGGACCGAAACGTCGTCGTAAGCTCCTCTCTTCTATATGCGGGTTATTTGTGTATCGTTCCAGTCACGGTATTGTGCCTTTTTTTTGTTATTTAGTACTTGTGCAGCTTTTTTGTACATAAAAGTAGGCAAGTTGTTTATGTCTCCTGCCTTGTTCTTAAGGGTGTTGATGATGAGCAAGACCGCTGTTGGGTTGGTTGGAGCTAGGAATAGTGCCTGTGAGGTAGTCTGATGGACGGGTGTTTGAGCTTGGGATTTTGCTTGCAAGATTCTTTCCTATTGTGGAGAAGAAAACATTGAGTCTGTTTGCTGTTTCAGTTGGTGGGAGTAGGGGATCGTCTGATTTTGTTAATTTGATTGCTTTGTTTTTGGATATCCTTTTAGTTCCTAGAATTTCAGATAGGACTTTCCAGGTCTTTTTTATATCACCTTTGATGTTTTGTAATCTGTTTTCATAATACAACTTTTTAGACCTTCTTATCAGGCTGGTAAGGGCTGACGAGTAACCTTTAGACTGGTCTCTAGTTATCTGACCCATTCTCTACTGTTTTTCATATTGGTGCTTTGTGTTAATGGATTTGAGGATGGTGGGTGTTAGCCAGGGACTATTTAGTCTCTTTGCTGTGAGCTGTTTAGTTTTTTTAGGGCAATGCTTTTTATAGAGGTAGTGGGTTCTTTTTATGAAATTATTAACCCTTTGACTGTTTCGGTCATATATATATATATGTCTTATGAGCCACCGTGTTTGACGTATATATACTCATACATTCTAGAGGCTTCAAATAAAGCAGGAGAAAGCTGGTAGGCCCACATGTGAGAGAATGGGTCGGTGTGGTCAGTGTGCACCATAAAAAAAAATCCTGCAGCACACAGTGCATAATGAGAAAAAAAACTCTGACCTTTTTTTTTTTAATTAAAATGCCGACTCTGTGGTCTATTTTTGTATAGTATTTATGGTTGTATTCACGTTTTCTTGGTCTCATTTGATAGAATGGAAAACATATTCTAGAAATGGAAGTGATTTTAATTGGTTTTACTATGAAAAGAACCTGGAAATGGAGCTCAAAATAAGGGGAATGTTTGATTTTTGCCGATGTTCAAAAGTAAACAAATGATGTCAGTTTCCAATAAATGTCCAAGTAGCCATTCTAATATGCAGTCATGAATGGGCTGACATTATTTATACAGCTATTAGAATATTGCAATAGTCTGCATAACAGTAAATCTTCTATTTTTTATTTGAATAAAAATTCAAAATAGAAAGCAAGAGTAATATCAGAGGGGCCTGGAGGCATGACTGATGAGTAAAGAATATGTTATTTTAGAGCCAGGAATGTGTGCATTGTTCATTCTGGACCCTATTTTGAAATTGTCATATTTTTTAATTTTCGTGAAATTGGCCAAATTGCAAATTTCTGACCACATTATTGGGTAGTTGATATTGGTAAATGGGCAGTTTCTTGTACTCGGTCGATAGAAAAAAATGGAGTTCTAAAGAAATAGCTATGAGTTTGGTCGACTGGAACAATGGAATTAGACGAAAATAGGGCTCAAAGTGGGTGAAATCGCCGATTCATAAATATCGTCGAGGTCACTAACTTCATGAGAGTGTAATTCCATCAGTTTTCCATCAGATTTCGTTCTTTTGGCGTCATTACAATTGAGAAAAGATTCTCTATCATTTCACAAGAATTTTTTTTTTTTTTCAGAAATTTTTTGACACCAGGAGACACCTCAGGATTTGGGGTTGCGACAGTCAAGGGGTTAATGCAGTGGACCCCCGACTTACGATGTCCTCAGCCTATGTTAAAACTGACTTACAATACTTGTCAGCATAAAAATTTGACCCCAGCACACGTTGAAAAACTTGACTTATATCATTCGTCCCTTACGCGTCCACGTGTCTGTCTGGCCTGAGCGCCTCAGCTGAGCTAGTGTGACATTGTTTACAAGCCAGGGCAGATGGTTGCACGTATACATTTGATAAATTTTGTATTATTTAAGTGTTTTTAGTGCTTGTAACTGCTGTATAAGCCACCATGGGCCCAAAGAAAGCTTCTAGTGCCAACCCTGTGGTAAAAAGGGTGAGAAATACTATCGAAATACTGTCGTACCATGGTCAGCTGCTGCTGCACCACAGTCAGCTGCTGCTGTAGCATGGTCATCTGCTGCTGTAGCACCGTCAGCTGCTGCTGCACCACAGTCAGCTGCTGCTGCTGCTGTACCATGGTCAGCTGCTGCTGCTGCTGTAGCACTGTCAGCTGCTGCTGCACCACAGTCAGCTGCTGCTGCTCCACGGTCAGCTGTACTACTCAAAGATGTGGAGAGACTTATTGGTGTGGCTTATCGAGAATACTGAGAAACAATTAACTCCAGAGGATTAGCCACCCAGGATAACCCAAGAAAGTCAGTTTGTCATCGAGGACTGTAACTTATTTCCATTGGGGTCCTTAAGCTTATCCCCCAGGATGCGACCCACACCAGTTAACTAACACCCAGGTGAACAGGAAAAATTACTTGGAACTAGTGCTCATATTGGTGAATTTAAGGCCAGCAAAGTTTGGTTTAGAGATTTAAGAATCGTAGTGACATACACAGAGTGATAAGGCCTGTTCTTGAAAAAAATGTCGAACAGGACCTACATTACTCAAGAGGAAAAGGCATTCCCAGGACACATTGTCTCATCACTCATCACTACATCTTCAATAAAGGTAAGTGTCATTTATTCTTCATTTAGTACACTAGTACATGCACAATGTATATTGTGCATGTATCATTCTTTTTGTGTGTAGGAAAATGCATTTTCATGTGGTAAAATTTTTTTTTTTCATACTTTTGGGTGTCTTGAATGGATTAATTTGATTTCCATTATTTCTCATGGGGAAAATTAATTCGACTTACGATAATTTCGTCTTACGATGTGCTCTCAGGAACGGATTAATATCATAAGTCGGGAGTCCACTGTACATTTATTAGTGTCTGTATATGTTTCAAGTTCATTATGCCAGTCAACATTATTCATAGCTGCTACTAAGTTATTTACAGCTGTTTTGTTATGTAGTCTGAAGGTAACTTTAGTAGTGTCTTAGTGCAGTTTACCTAGGTTGGTTATGAGAAAGGTAGGGTAGTGGTCTGTGGTGTTGTGTGTGATTATGCCTGATTTTAAAGGGGATATGGTGTTAGTCCAGATGTGGTCCAATAAAGAGATACTATTCTGGGAGATTCTTGTATGTTTTGATATTGTTGGTAGCAACAAGTATTTGCTCATAGTGTTTGTGAATTCAGTTACTTGTGGGTCCTGGTCATGTAGTAGATTTATGTTGGAATCTGTTACCAGTACCAACTTTCATACCCACACTCCCCCTCATCCACTCTTACCATACCCACTCTGCCACACTCATACTCCACTGTGCCCACTCTACAGCACTCACTCCACCACACTTACTCCATTGCACCTACTCCACCACATTCACTCTAGTGAATGTGGTGGAGATGGTGGTATACTGTAGAGAGGTAGAGGAAAGAATGGAAAAGAGGGTGGCAATTTTACTTTAAATTTTTTCTCTGGATATTCTGGTGTATTGGGCAGAAGTTAATGAGGGCCAGGGATACCCTTCTAGATTGCACTTCTGCCAATATATAGCTAGTTGTTAATAATTTTAAATAAAAGAAGCATGTGAGATTAGTTCTCAGTGTAATTATTATTGAAAAATAACTTCTGGTAATACCTTTAAATTATCTTTTAGGTGAGGGGCAGCATTTTCATGTTCATGACATTGATAGCGGAACAAGACTTTCCAGCATTGAAGTCTTTCGTGCAGCAGTAGTTCATGGCATCCAACTTCAGTCCTATTGCTTAAACAATGAAGATGTCTGGATGGTGGCTATTTTCGGACAAAAAAATTTAAGTGTGATGTGCTTCAGACCAGCTGAAAACAAATGGTAAGTGATGTAAAATATGAATAAATATACAGTAGGGCCCCAATTACATGACAGATTAGGTTCCATGCTACTGCCTTAAAGCGGAAATCACCATAAAGTAGAACTAACATAAATTAACAGTAGAAATAAGCATTAAAAGCAATAGAAAGTAAAATACATACACAGTACATTCATTACTTACCTTAAAATATTTGTAGTCTTAATGTAGGGTGAGAGGTGAGTAGTATTTATTGTAGAAAGTCAGGGATGGTGGCTCCCACACCAGCTAACACACCTACTCGAAATATACAACTTAAATTTAAAGCACCCCGGAGTGATTATTGTTATTATTATTATTATTATTATTATTATTATGATTACCATCGGCATACCTTGTTCACTGAGTTTAATCATCTACCCTTAGATGCCATCATAAATGAGAGAGAATGAGTAAATGAGGAGAGAGATACCGAGAATGTAAGCAAACAGACGAACACGTAAGAGCAGTCACTCAGTCAGATGACACGTGTATCTGTCCACTTTTGGTTAAGACAAGTATATTTGCACGAGTTGGAGTAGCAGTTACCCCACAATACAACACTTACATTGTGTACACAGAATTTTCACATTAGTGCAGTAGAATAAAAAAGTAGCCACTAGTGAAGGCATATGAAAGGAATAATTTTGTACAGTTACCCCAAGTAATACTATAGTGTACACATTTTCTCTGGTGTGGGACTAGAGAAAACGTAATTCTTGCCATCACTCAGACAAGCCACCCAGCTACCACATTTCATATTTATGTCAAATTTATTCTACTGTTTACCTGGAGTGGGTTTTGGGGGTCAACACCCCCACGGCCCTGTCTGAGACCAGGCCTCATGGTGGATCAGGGTTTGATCAACCAGGCTGTTACTGCTGGCTGCACGCAAGCTGATGTACGAACCACAGCCCGGTTAGTCGGGTACTGACTTTAAATGCCTGTCCAGTGCCTTCTTGAAGACAGCCAGGGGTCTGTTGGTAATCCCTCTTATGTATGCTGGGAGGCAATTGAACAGTCTTGGGCTCCGGGCACTTATTGTGTTGTTGTCTCTCAGTGTACTCGTGGTGCCCCTGCTCTTCATCGGGGGAATATTGCATCTCCTGCCGAGCCTTTTGCTTTCATATGGAGTGATTTTCGTGTATAGGCTTGGTACCAATCCTTCCAGGACCTTCCAAGTGTATATTATCATGTATCTCTCTTGCCTGCGTTCGAGGGGATACAGATCAAGGACCTTCAACCGTTCCCACTAGTTTAGGTGCTTTATCGCTCTTACGTGTGCTAAGGACGTGACTAATGAACAGAGGAAATGTTATTTTAGTGCCAGGAATGTCTGTCTTGTCTATTCTGGACCCTTTTTGGAAATTGGCATCTTCTGAAATTTGTGTGAAATTGGCAAAATTGCTAATTTCTGACAATTTTATTGGATAGTTGAAATCGGTAAATGGGTGGTTTCTTGTACTCATTCGATAGAAAAAATGGAGTTCTAGCGAAATAGTTATAATTTCGTCAACTAGCACACTGGAATTGGCCAAAAATAAGGGTCGAAGTGGGCGAAATCACCGATGCGTAAACACCGTCAAGACCGCTAACTTTGCAAGAGCATAATTCCGTAAGTTTTCCATCAAATTTCAAACTTTTGGTGTCATTATGATCGGGAATAGATTCTCTATCTTTTCATAAGAAAAAATAATTTTTTTTCCGAAAAATTTTCGACCCTGAGAACAAGTTTAAGAGAGGGCCTCTTGACCCTGAAAGGGTTAAAGCTAATTTTCTCTCTTCTGTTTATTACAATATATGTTACACTACTGCATAAACATTTAACCCTTTCAGGGTCGGCAGGCCCTCTCCTAAACTTGTTCTCAGGGTTGGAAATTTTTCAAAAAAAAAAAAAATAATTTTTTCATATGAAATGATAGAAAATCTTTTCCTGATCATAATGACACCAAAAGTATGAAATTTGATGGAAAACTTATGGAATTGTGCTCTCACGAAGTTAGCAGTCTCGACGATGTTTACACATCAGCGATTTCGCCCACTTTGAGCCATATTTTCGGCCAATTCCAATGTACCAGTTGACAAAAATCATAACTATTTTGCTAGAACTCCATTTTTTCTATCGAATGAGTACAAGAAACCACCCATTTACCAATTTCAACTATCCAATAAAGTGGTCCAAAATTGGCAATTTTGCCAATTTCACACAAATTTCAAAAGATGCCAATTTCCAAAAAGGGTCCAGAATAAACAAGACAAACATTCCTGGCACTAAAATTACATTTCCTCTGTTCATCAGTCATGTCCCCAGGTCTCTGTTACATTTCTTTTGCTTTCCACTTTGAATTTTTATTCTCACATAAAATAGAAGATTTACTGTTATGCAGACTACTGCATAGGATCCAGAATAAACAAGAAAGACATTCCTGGCACTAAAATAATATTTCCTCTGTTCATTAGTCACGTTCCCAGGCCCCTCTTACATTTTTTTTGCTTTCCACTTTGAATTTTTATTCTCAAAAAAAATAGAAGATTTACTGTTATGCAGTCTACTGCATTAGTGTAGAAATGGTATAAATAATATCGGCGCACATGTGAAAGAATATCAGACTCACCAGTTGACATGTATTGGACGCTTAGCATGATTTCTTTACTTTTGAACTTTGGTAAAAATCGAACATTTCTGCTACTTTGAGCTCAATTTCAAGGTACCTTTCTTTGTAAAACCAGTCAAAATTATCTCAGTTTCTGTAATATGTCTTCCATTCTATACAATGAGACCAGGAAAACTAGAATACAGGTCCGCCATCACAAATCTGGCAATCAGTTATTCGGTTCCTTCAGTTATTCGGCACTAATTTTGGCTAGCATAATTTCAAATTTCCAGGGTCGCCACACCAACCTGCTGGTACTGTTGGGTGGCGCTACTTACTGCATTAGTCATTCTAATTTCTTTTTCTCCATTTGTTATAACCTGCTTACTTTTAGCCCCAGCCATGGTTCCATTGAATAAAAAATGTTTCTCATTGTGTAAAGCACTTACACAGTACATTGTCCATTAAAGATAAGGTGGCTTTGAAGCCACAGTCAGTTGCCATGAGCTCAGTCTCATGATGCAGGAGAATATGCTTTATTATTATGCTAATATCAACACTACAGCTTATTGCCTATCACAAATGATCTAATATGACATAATAAACAATATAAATAACATAAACATGTTAAACACTCCAGGAGGAATAATGTTTGGCATAATACCGAGCAGTTCAACAGAGGTATGAAGAGGACATGGGATACAAGTACCATTCTCCTATCCCTGTCTTGGGGGCTTATATTAGAGAAAACAGAGTGCAGCACAGGGCTAACTGTGATATACACTCGTACTGCACCATAAAACTGAAACAAAAAAGCTATTTCCTCTTCATAGATTATCACACATAGCAGCATGTGTGTAGAGAACCTAGGATAACCCAAAAAGTCAGACAAAGTGGCTTATTTCTAGTACCTGGCTTGGGTTAGCCATATATAATTTTTGGTAAATATTCGATTCCCAGCCAGGGTAGAAACATTGGGTGTGTTTCTTTACACCTGTTGTCTATGTTCACCCATCAGTAAATGGGTACTTGGGTGTTAGTTGACTGGTGTGGGTGTTATCCTGGGACACTGACCAAATTTGCTTGATATACTCAGCATAACAAGCGACTTTCTATATAGTAGGATGTCACTGATGTCAGCTAGACCTTGTACATGTACGTGTAGTAAATAAAGATATTATTATTATTATAATTATTACTATTATTATTTTCTCAGTTGTTTGTTGGGTTATCTTACTGAAACTTGGGCAATGTATGATAGAAAAATACTTCTTAACGTACACCAAAAATGAAAGAAAGCAGACCATAAATAGCAGAGTTCACTTCTCAGCCATTAGCGGCTGCTTAGTGGTATATTTTTGTATGTTTTTTATGGCTATATTCTCGTTTTTCCGGTCTCATTTGATAGAATGGAAGATATATTACAGAAATAGATAAGATTTTGATTGCTTTCATGACGAAAAGTACCTTGAAATTGCTCTCACAGTAGCAGAAATGTTCTATTTTTTAGCAATGCTCAAGAGTAAACATATGATGTCACCGTCCAATACCTGTCCACCTGCCAGTCCAAATTCCAATACACAGTCAAGACTGGGTTGACATTATTTATTTATGAGTTGATATTATTTATATGGTTGACATTATTTATTTATTATTTACTGATGGGTGAACGTAGACAACAGGTGTAAAGAAACACTCCCAATGTTTCTACCCTGGCTGGGAATCAAGTATTTACCAAAAATCATATATGGCTAACCCAAGCCAGGTACTAGAAATAAGCCACTTTGTCTGACTTTTTTGGGTTATCCTAGGTTCTCTACACACATGCTTTTGTGTGTGAAAATCTATGAAGAGGAAATAGCTTTTTTGTTTAAGTTTTATGGTGCAGTACGAGCGTATATCACAGTTATCCCTGTGGTACACTTTGTTTTCTCTAATATAAGCCCCCAAGACAGGGATAGGAGAATGGTACTTGTATCCCATGTCCTCTTCATATAAATCCTCATGCAGTAGTCTGCATAACAGTAAATCTTCTATTTTTTTGTGTGAATAAAAATTCCAAATGGTAAGCAAGAGTAATATAAGAGGGGCCTGTAGCCATGACTAGTGAACAGAGAAAAAGTTATTTTAGTGCCAATGTCTGCATTGTTTATTCTGGATCCTATTTTGAAATTGGCATCTGTTGAAATTTGTGTGAAATCGGCCAAATTGCCAATTTCTGATCACTTTATTGGGTAGCTGAAATAGGTGAATGGGCGGTTTCTTGTACTCAGTCGACAGACTAGAAGTAAGTAAATAAGTTTATTCAGGTATACACAAATACAGTTACATAGATTATCATACATAGCAGCGTATGTATAGAGAACCTAGGATAACCCAAAAAAGTGAAA